CTGCTTCTCCCTCTCATGCTCTCTGTCTCTCATTCTCTCTCTCTCAAATAAATAAATAAGATCTTTAAAAAACAAAACAAAACAAAAAAACCCTGCAGGCCAAGGAAGGGTCCTTAATCTGTCCAGGATCACAATAAACTTGTATTAAGACCAGGACATAGGCTCTGGTTCCCAGAGTTAAGCCCCCTGCTCTTTACATTCTACCATATGGCCTTGCTACTATTAACACCTCAATTTATATAAATAAATTTCCTATATATATAAACTACCATGGAAACACAAGAATCATGTATACTTCAGAAATGTAGAGATCCGCCTGTTTCAGTAGCTCTCCAATGATTAGAACATTGGAAGTGGTACCATCACCAGTTATGTCATCTTGGGCTGTTGCTACTTTGGCTATTAAGGAGGCTGTTGGGTGTTGAATTTGCTGAAAGTAGAAAAAGAAGAAAATTACTTAAGTTGAAATAATCTAAGTATACCTTAAAATGTGTGAAGGGTCTCCTTAAGTGCATCTATTTGCATAAATTGCCCAAGTGTTCAGCTACATGCCATACTGATTTAAAACTCACCATTAACTATTTTGTACATCCATTTATAGTAACCCAAACATTTTCACATTTAGATTTGAGAAGATTATCTCCACTCTACTGATGAGGAAATCTGAGGCCCAGTTAAGTTTTACTGAAGATGACAGAGTTAACAGTAAGAAATAATTTCAAATCCATGCAAGCTTCTTTAGGACTCTTGTGAGAATAAACCAGGTTCCTTCTAAAATTAAACCTCACTAGCCTCCAGTATTACTTGGATTGAACAAAAAATTAAAAAGACCTTTTAACAAAGATCATCAGTGAATGCTAAATCGCTAAAAAGTTCTGTAAAAACAGGATATTCATTATGTCTCCAGTATCACCCATAGATTCTTAATTACAAAGGACGCAAACAACGCTCCTGAACTGCTTTTGGTTTTTAAGTCTCCTTATTCTCCTGTAATCTAGAACGGTTTCCCAGCCTTTTGTTTTTGGGGGCACTGACAGTTTTAAGAATCTAGGTCAGAGGGACGCCTGGGTGGCTCAGTTGGTTAAGCTTCTGGCTCTTACTTCAGGGTCCTGAGTTCAAGCCCAGGCTTGGGCTCCAAAAACAAAAAAAAAACCCTAAATTTTATTCTGAACTCAAAACACAGGCAAATCATTTCCTTTTCTTGGATTTTAAGTGCTAGATTTTGGAAACTTAGGGATGAGTAAAACAATTGCTCCTCTCAATAGTCTCACACTCTTTGTCAGTGGGACTTTAACAATAGTAAAGCAGAGTTTTACCTCCCCTTCAGTTGGAGGTGGAGAGAGATGTTGACAGAAATCCACGTTTTAAAAAGAGAAAAAGTATAACCATTTTGCGCTTACCTAACTATGTCAACCGCTTAGTTTTTCAGATTTTAACAGAGTTAATTTTAATAACTACAATCCTTTAACCAAGGACTTACATGGCAAGAATAAGGATTCAAAAATAAGTAATCAGATTCCAGGGCTCCTCCCGGCATCCTACTGTCAGTACTATTACTGACTGCATTCCTTTTCTACTTCCTCCATTGTCTGAAAGACCTGCTGAGAGCTGACTCATTTCTCCTATCTTGAATATGAACATTAAAAATCTCACTGCGAATCACATGCAATACGGAAAACCAAGACATTTTCGACCTAATATAGCAGCCTCTCACCATTTCATGAAGCAGCACATTGCCATCTTTAGTAAGCTTGATGTCTCCAGCACCAGAAACAAGCCTGTTCAACGGGCACAAATGAATCACAGTGTGACTTTTTCAACGGAGACCTAACTAAGAGTCCCATTACTACCGGGCTTTACCCAGATCCTAAGGACCTGGGGCCACGCGGCTGGTTCTCCCCACCCGGTAACAGGAATGGTGCAGTGTCCACCCCCTCCCTTCAGAGAAACAGCCTGCCCAACTCTCAGTTAGGGTCCCAGGGCGCAGGGGCGAGCCGCGCACGCGGGCAGCTTTGTTCTCAGCAGAGATGGCATCGATTACAAGAGGAAACGGCCGGGGCAGGAAACAGGAGCGACCCGGGAGTCTGCGGGTAAGTAGGGCCGCAGCGACGAGCGTAGAGGCCCGGGGGCGCCAGGCCCGTGATGGCGCTAGGTACCAGCCCCGCCAGCCCCGCCTTACATCTTCATGGTGCCCTTAGGCCCCAAGTTGGTCCTCAGCACGTCCTGCAGGCCCCGGGCCGCGCTGATGTTCACCGCCAGCGCCGCCTGGGCTCGAGCCACCTCGGCCTTGGGGTTCAGGGTCTTCACGGCCGCCATAGCTAACCAGCACAGGAAGAGGAGGAGAGCCGGCGTGCGGAGGGCCCAGAGCTCGCTCAGCGTGGCCAGGGGGCGTTCGCTGCGCGGGTCTTCTGGAAAAGTCGGGCGCGTCCGGCCCGCCCCCAGCGTGCCCGTGCGCCGCTACCATTGGGCCGCAGGTCGGCCCGCGCCGCTCATTGGGTCGCGGCGCCTACGGTCCCGCCCCTCGCGGCCAGCCCCGGCGCCATTGCGCACAGGAGGGCCCTGTTCCCGGGCAGTAAGGGCTCGCGGTGGCCCGGTGTCGCCGCCCGCCGGGCCCCAGCTTTGCAGACCGGGGACCTGAGGACGGAGGCGGGGCCTGTGGGCCGCGCGCGTCCGGGCGTGACTGCAGAGCGGGCCGCTCTCTCCTGGAGGTCTCTGGCCGCAGGTGTAGGGTGGGCTTCCTCTTTCCCCCCTCGCGCGGTTTGCCTTGCTTCCTCCCCTCGCTTCTTTCTTCCCTGTCACCAGCGTTTTCTTGACTATCTACTGTGTGCTTAGAGGGGTTCTCGGTGCTGCGGGGATACAGAAGTGAATCTGATAAGGGCTGCTCGCCCAGTATTGTAGGTGTTTTAAGTTTAGGGGAGATGAATGCAAGGTAGAAAGTGCTCGATGCCTTTTTAGCAAGCTACAGGATCGGTGTGTTGGCGGCTGAGGAGAAGCTGGTCAGCCCACCCTTCCCGCTCAGGACACACTGCTCTCAAGGCAGGTTTTATTTATTTATTTATTTATTTTTAACAATTTTATTTATTTACTTGTCAGAGAGCACAGGCAGAGGGAGTAGCGGGCTCCCTGCTGAGCAGGGAGCCCCATGAGGGACTGGATTCCAGGACCCTGGGATCATGACCTGAGCCGAAAGCAGATGCTTAACTGACTGAGCCACCCAGGCGTCCCTCAGCAAGTTTTAAATCTCAAATGATTGAGTAGTAGTCTCCTTTTTAAGACAAAATTCCGAAAGATGTCTGCAGTTATTTTCTAGTATCCCGTATTCACCCCCCCATTAGATATACAAGATAACGTCTAGTATTTCGTTTTTATAATAACAAAAATTGTTAGAATTCAAAGGTGCCAAAGGGCATATGGTGAAAAGTACGTCCTTGTCCCTCTAGTTCAACTTCCTTCAGACAAGCATAATTACCCTTAGATGCTCTGAATTTCCCAGATGCTTTCTGAATTTATAAATATGTATATGGATATAAGCATTTTTCCCACACAAAATGTCGATTTATGATACACACTGTTGGGTGTATTATACTTAAAGTATCTTGGCGATTGTACCATATCAATATGAATAGGGATTCCTCATTCTTATTAACAGCTGCATGATATTCTTTGTAAGAGTGACAAAATTAACTAGTCATTCACTGGTTGATATTTAGGTTGTTCCCAATCTTTTGCTATTGAAGTTGCAGTGAATACCCTGGTATATAATGCTTTTAAGTGGCATTGTATATTTGAGAATCAAAAGCACATATATAAGTTTGAGTAATAGCAGTACACAGGAGACTTGTGCTTACCTTATTTGGTAAGTATGCATATTTATTTACTGTTACAGATGTAAGGGGAGACATGAGCAGAGATGAAGATTGTGGAACTTTCAGGCATGTGCTTGCAGGTGGAGAAAGGGGGAGTGGATCTCCTGAGGTACACAATTTAAAGGGGGCACCATAAAACTCAGTAATTGAGATCAATAATATTTTAATGCAGTATTTTTTAAAAAATCAAAATTAATGCAAGAAATCCACAATGAATGGAATTTTAATTAGGCATCTCTACTAACATCACACCAAAGTCTCAGCAAAGCAGAAAGAGCCACATGATCCCTGTAGAGGCAGTCTGTTTGCATATATCGTTCTACTGGTCTCCGTTACCACACTTTCAAGCAAATTAATTGTTTTCATTATATGATGCAAAAGAGTGTAGCAAGGGTGTGTTGTCTATATGGTAATGTATGTATAGAGTGGGAAAACTTCAGAATGTCTTTGGAGAATTTCACACAAAAGGTCATGTTGTGGGAGCAGATCCATTTCAATCCATGATTGAAAAAAATGAGGTGGTAGCAGATGTTTAGCCATTTGATTCAGGAGGGATTTCAATACAGAATAAAATTTTGAGGAATGAACCCTAATGAGGCAAGGTGGTATATTAGAAAGAATCCTAGAATCAAACAATTTGAGTTTGAATTCTAGATTTGCAATGTTTACCACTAGGTGAACTTGGATAACTTATTTAACTTTTTTGACTATTTCCTAATATATAAAGTAGGGGTAAATGACATCTTAGAGAAAATTAAATGAGATTGCATGTGTAACATGCTTTGTATTGTGCCTGACATGGAAGGTGTGAAGTAATTGCCACTTTTGCGTTCATATGGTGTAATTAAGGCATATAATTCTTTTTTTTAGCTATATAATTCTTATAGCACCTTCACATGTAGTGTTTCATTTGATCCTAATATGAATCCTTTGAAATTTAATAGGTCAGGTATAATCAAACCGGTTTCATAGATGATTAAATCAACACAGAGAAAGGTTAAATGACCAACAGGGTCATGCTGTGTTGTATGAGGAGAGGGCCAAAAACCTAGGTTTCACCCTTGACTTCTCCCTTTGCCCCAGCCCCCCACATCCACTTACTCCCTGAACACTTTCACTTTCTAGATATATCCATCTCTGCTTACACCACTCAGGTTTAGGCCATGATGATTTCTTACTTGTACAACTACTATAGTGCCCTAAGTAATTGTTCTGCCTTATTCCCCATGTTACTACTGGAGCAACCTATCAGAAGTAGATCTACAAGCCACAGCTCTGCTTATAATCCCTGTTATCCTCAAGACCTTAGACTGAAATATAAATGCCTTAATTTGCTTCCAGAATCAACTACATCTTGTGCCTACCTCTCTGGGTTAAAACCCTTTTCTCTCTCTCTCTCTCTCTCACTCCATGCTCTGGTCATTCTGAATTTTTCAGTGCTTGGAACATTCTACCTGCCTTTCTTCAGCCTGAACCACTCTTCAGGGACCACTTCTCTCCTCTCCTCATTCTTATCCCCATTCCCATCCAGTGGGTATAGAAATAAATAAAATCCCTAATCCTCAAGAAAGTGCATGGCCTAGTTATGGAGATAAACTTGTAAACAGGTAAATGACCATAAAGTGTAGGATGTAATAGTTAAGAGATAAATGAAGTACAATGAGCACAAAGGTATTAGCTTTGAGCACCAAGGAAGGTTTCTTAGAGATGAGGCTAATGGGATTTTGAAAGATAGATAGATCCTTTTTGGAAGAAAAGGGCTTAGGAGAGTGATTCCAGACAGTAACAGTGAAAGGACTTGGCATGCCCATTGAAAGGTGGATACTTAGGATGGAGGGAAGAAGGTTGCAAGAGACAAATCTGGAGAAGTAGCATTTCCTGACTGTCATGTCCTGGTTAAGACATCTGGGCCAGCAGTGGGAACCCAACAAACTAGTGATGAAGATTACTCTGGAGGTGGAATGGAGGATGAACTAAGGGAGAAGACGAAGGATAGGGCATTCAGAAAGAAGGATGTTGAAAAGTCCACGCAGAAGGTGATGAAGGCATATTTAATGACATAAAGAGGTTTTCTTGATAAGAGGGAAAAACGTTTTAAGTGGTATAAATTATATGTTCTCATTTTTGTAACCACTCCCCATGTATCTATACCAAAATAAGGGTATGCATCAAAATATTAATATATTAAAATTCAGAATATTTTTATTTTTGCAAACCTCCCCAAATTTATGTATCCACAGAAGGGAGATGCAGAAGTATATACATGAAAATATAAAATATACAAAGTATGTCCAGTGTCTTATTTTTATTAAGTCCCCCAAGTGTATGTGTATATGTGTGTGTGTGTATATGTATATATATGTATATATACGTACACATATGTATATATATCAATAAAGAACCGAAAGAATATACATCAACATGTTTAACATTTTGTTTCTATGTTTGCCAGTCTTATAGGTGAAAAATGGTATCTTAAAAGTTTTGTTTATTGAGAGTGAAGGTGAGCATATATCTTATATATCTTTGTAGTTCTATTTCTGTGAACTGTCTATTCATGTCTTTTGTCTGTTTTCCTGTTTGGTTTCTTGTGGATTTGTAGGAGCTCTTTTATGTTTTCTGTGTTGCAATTAACTTGTCTCAATATTGTTTGTACAGTATTTTGTATTTATGTCTTTTTTCCAATTAAAAATTTAAAAAATTATTTTCATGTAGTCAGATGTATTTTTTTCCCCTTTTATGGGCATTTGGATTTTGTGCTATACTGTGTAAGACAGGCCTTATGCTCTTAAAAAGTATTCTGAAAGTTCTCCCATGTTTTCATTTGTATTTTTAAGGTTTTAGTTTTCATTTTAACCCTTGATTCGTTTAAAATTTATTTCAGTAAGGAATGTGATAAGAATCTGTTGTATTATGAAAATATGTATTTGGTCTTTGTCCCTGGTTCCTGGCACAGAACTCCTTAACCATTTCTGAGTGATGGGAGTATCTATTGTTATCCATAACCATCCCCTTTAGAATACACCTGAGTCTTTGCTAATGATGTGAGTTGAGGTGGGAACCCTAGATAGCCTCAGGATGGGGACTGGTCACTAGAAAGACCAAACACAGTGATTAGAGGGTGGGGACTCTCAGTCCCATTCCCCCATCCTCTGGGGGAGTGGAGGTGGGCGGCAGATAGGTTATAAAAATGATTGAATAACCAGGGTGGGTAAACATTGATACAGTGGTAGGGTGGTGTACCTAGAGGGCTTGGAAGCTCTGCTCCTTCCTCAGTACCTGGTCTTGTGCATTTCTTCCATTTGGTTTCTTCCTGAGTTGTATCCTTTATAAATAAACCATAAACCTAAGTGAAGTGATTTCCCAAGTTCTGAGTCAAGTCTCAAAAATTTTCAAACCTGAGGAAGGAATTGTGGGAACCCCCAAATTTGCAGCCAAGTCAGACAGAAATGGAGGTAGCATGTAGGCCTGGAACTTGTAACTGGTGTCTGAAGTGGAGGCAGTCTGGGACTGAGCCCTTCACTGCAGGGTCTGTGCTAATTCCAGGTAGA